GTTAATGTAGATTCTGAAACTGGCCCTTAGTTTGAAAAATGTTTTAATTTTGGCCCCCTTTTGTAAGTGAGTTTGACACCCCTGGTCTAGTGGTTCTACACTTAAATGCTCCTTAACCTCCTTCCTGAGGGGAGTGGGGCAAAAAGTGTGTGTGCTGGGTGAGTGGAGTCCTTCATGATGCAGGTGGCCCTCTTCCTGCATCCAGAGGTGTAGATGTCTGTGATGCTGGTGATACGATTAAAGTGCATTTATGAAGGAAAAGTTCTACTGAGACGCACCTTTACTATAAAGTCAAGCAAACAAACAATTATTTTTAGGTGGTTATCTTGTTAAATTTCGAATACACAGCGAGTCGTCCCTCTGTGCGCTTCCGCGAATCGTCTTTTGAAATGCAGCTGATTTGACCGTCAAAGTGCATTTATTAAGGAATAGTTCAACTGCGACACACCTTTTACTATAATTTCGAGCAAACAATTAATTGTTTTTAAGTTTTAATCTTGTTAAATTCTTGTTAAAGTCCTCCCGTGCACACACCCACAGCCGCCATTTGGCAGCCAATCGCTTTTTAGCACAACACCGGCCCACATTTCCGGGTGGTCATAATAGATGCGACTTATACGGCGATGGCAACGTGTACGGCGACAAGTATGCTAATCAAAGCAAATTTATTTCACAGTTCCAATCATTTTAAGTTTATGTGCATTTTTGACAGGATCTGCCTGTTTAGCTTGATGTTAAATGATGATTAATCTGTGTCTAAATTGTAAAAAAAAAAAAGGTCTCCAATCTTATTGTGTCAGGTATGATGCTGGGAGGTGGCTGTGGAAGAGAGCTGGCCCACTGGATCATACATGGTCGCCCTGAAAGGGACATGTATGGATACGACATCAGGTACATCAGTTCTGAAGGTCCTGGTTTCAGGCACAGAGCACCAGGAGGCTCAATAATAACTCCACTATGAACTTGGTGCAGCTGTAACTTTTAATGAGGGCTCATCCTTTTGAATTCCTGTCCCTCGTGTCCTTCTCAGGCGTTTTCATAGTTCACTGACAGACAACAAACGCTGGATCAGAGAGAGGAGCCATGAGTCATATGCTAAGAACTACTCCGTGGTGTTCCCCTTTGATGAGCCGCTGGCCAGCCGCAACATGAGGAAGGACCCTTTCCATCAGGTACGAGAGAGCTTGGATGGACAGGTAATCAGGGGCAATTTAGAGAAGTAATTTGTATGTGTCCATTTTCTGCTGTGAGTTAGTAAGGCTCCTTTTAACTGTGGCTTCATCAGATATTTGAGTTGGAGGTAGAACTATAATAGAGTGAAAAGTCATGGAAATTTACATGTGCATGATCTTAGCAGTTATTCATGGTTTAAAGCCATATTAGTTGTCAAAATGTGATTTTTCAGTATTTATTTGAACCTTAAGTATGTGTATCGTCTAGGATATTAAAAAAAAACTACATACGGATCATTTTCAACAAAAAGTCTACAGCATATTTGTAATAAAGGAGCAAAATCACCAGTCATGTTTGGTTTCCAACAATTAATGGTGGTTTGTTTACATTCGAACGTCGAGCGTTTAGATATTCTGAACTCTAACGGGAAAATTTCCATCCCGATCATAATTAATCACAGAATTTATTAGTAAACATATGTGACGAATATTTGACGTTTTCTAACACAATTCTTATAAAAACCCTGATGAACAATTGTTTAATACTGTCAAAATTGTGTTAGAAGCAACAAAAAAAAACGGAAATATTACACATTTTGACAGGCTTTAAAGGTACTCATTGCAATGTCCCAAAGGTTTATCAAAAAAAATTAATAACATAACAAATATGCAAACATAGCAAAGTTTGTGACCGAATGCCACCTAGTTCATGCATTTGTTTACCTAGAAATCAACCAAAGTGACTGAAAGTAGGTCAACCATCGGTCAGCCATATTTGATTTCCTGAACAGAATACAGCCAGCCTAATGTAGGTCAGTCATGTGACTCCGGCTCAAGGTTTTGAGCAGATTCAGCTGCATGTTTTGCTTACATTGAGTGTAAACCTACAGTTCAGAACTTCATTTAACATATCTGGGAAATTACTGGAGTCAAAAAATCTAAGACTGCACAAGTTTATATACCGTATTTTCTGGACTATAAGTCGCACCTTTTTGCATAAATTTGCAAGTCCTGCGACTTGTACACCGAAGCGACTAATATACGTTTTTTCACCATATTTATGGCCCAATTTTTGGCTGAGATCCGACGATTTCATTCATTCGGACATGGAAAATATTGAACACTACCATTTTCAGCTGCTAGAGGGCCCTCGAGCAATATGGCAAGCCAAGTCTCTCATTAATAGGTAAAAGTGGTTATTAATGAGACACTTGGCTTGCCATACCACTTATATTTGTCTCACTCCAGAACTCATTTCACCATGACGCCCAGGCAAAATGCAGCTGATTTGACCATTAAAGTTCATTTATTAAAGAAAAGTTTAACTGAGACACACCTTTGCTATAATTTTGGGCAAACAAATAATTGTTTTTAAGTGTTAATCTTATTAAATTCTTCTTGAAGTTCTCCCGTGCACGCTCCCATGGCCGCCTTTTTGGCAGCCAATCATTTTTTGGCACAACACCGGCCCACGTTTCCGAGTTGTCAGCGGTGACACATGTGACTTATAAGGTGAAGACTTATTTATGTTTTTTTCCACTTTATTAGACATCTTTGAACAGATGCAACTTATATGTGGTGCGACTTGTAAGGCAGAAAGTACAGTAATTTAGTTTCATACTTGGCTACACACTTAGTAGCTGGCTTCTCATGAGATTATGACCACATGTTAATCCAAGGTCTTTTCCCATTTCTTTCTTTTGTGCCTCATCTTTCCTTTGTCCTTATGGTGGTTTAGAAATCACTCCCGTTTTTTATCATCCAAAAGGGTCATTGCACATTATTCACATAGCTGTTGTACGCTGAATAATAGGAATATTTATAGTTTATTGGTTTCAACATTGTGGTAACAGATGAAAAAAGGAGATTGGTTTATTTCAACAATTGCTCTCTTCAATAAGGTAGCTCTTGCATATTCTCCTTAAATCATACAGCTTTACTCTTGATGCTCACCCAGCAGAGATTATACCTTTTCTTTCTCTTTCCTCATACCTGCTTCTTGCCTCCTGCACTCATGTCATCCATTAGAGGGAATATGATCTAAGAGTAAGGAAAGGAGCTAAGGGTAGCTAAACAAAGAAATGAAACATGGTCATTTTGTGTGGCTCCAAAGTTTTGAAACAGTCCTTTACTGCCAGCTTTCCTGTGATTGACACTGATAGATGAAGGATTCAGTCAATCTTTTGACAAGTCCTTTTTATAAGCACCTAAAAATATCTCGTTGTCCGAGGTAACAACCTCCTGGCGTGTAATGTCGACGTATGAAACCAGATCATTGTTTTCTCACCAGGGCATCTCAGACTCTGTCTGCTTTAGGCTTGTCAAACACTGACACCATCTCCTAATGTGGGGTTGTCCCTCTGTTACTCTCCCACGTCTTTCTGTCATTCTCTTTCGTCTGATCAAATCTCGAGGCGTATGACTGATTGAGGATGATGGCAGTAAGCTGTGTCACTTTCTCCTCGGCTGCTGTCTGACTCTAAATGATCCACTCCGACTCGCTTGTTCCTGGAAGTCTCTCGGCTTCGTGTCGTTCCTTAGCTCAGCACAAACTCCTAATGGACCTTTTCTTCACCATGCTTTACACATTAATGAGCCTCTTAGACCTCATTTCTCTTGATCTGTTCGTTTCTTTCCCCCTCTGATCTCACATGTAGGCACGTTTCAGAACAGATTACCGTCAAACACACTCCATTAGAAATGTTGTCATTGTGTTTTGTAGCTCATGTCCTGTGCTTCCTCATAACTTGTTTTATTTAGTGTCTCTGACACTTTGCATGCATATTTAAAGCTTCCTGCAGGCCGTTTTGAAGATCGACTATATTTGAACAAATGAAGCACAGAAAAAAGTAACAACAGGTTTGTAAAGGTTTAATTCAATGTGATTTTGCAACACGTTAAAGGTTTTCCCTGCTGAGCAAGCCGTCTCTGCAAAAACAACGAGACTCGCTACTTTTTGGAGCAAATACAACTTTATTTCAGACTGCAAGCAAGTCGTCTCCGACACTGCTGCGCACGCGCTTTCTCCACCTCGGCAGCACAGACGGTAAATATAGCTCGGTGTGGGAAGTTTTTGGCAAAAGACAGACAGCTTGATGCCTGCTCAGAGGAGAGTATAGCACTACATACCTACCAACCGTGGGCGACTGTCAGTTTTAACAACGATGGAGAGCCTTGAAATATCTTCTCTTAACACTCTTCAAGAATTAGGAAGAATACCATTACTGCTGCTGTTTGTACTAAATAACCAAAGTATACTCTTTTTTTCTTTACAGTTACTCTATAGAATGACAAGGTTTTAAATATTCACCTCGGTTTTTACTCTTTGTCAATTTGTTGGAGGATAAAGAGTCGATTTGTTGGAGGATCAAGAGTCGGAGTCAGAGAGATTTATTTGTCATACATACCACACGTGATACATGAGGTGGGACAAAGCTATGCACCGGTACACAGGGTCCCAGTTACATCCAACAAAAACACAAATTGTAAAGAAAAACATTAGTAAGATCCGAGTCATGAACTAAGAATGTACTAAACTAAGAATACACTAAGCACTAATGGTACAAAAACAATGCGCCAAAACAACAACAGCAGCACGAACATGAGTCTGTGTGAGCAGATGAGGATTAATGAACACAGCAATATGAAATAATCAGCAGCATGAGATCAGCATCATGGATAGTCAGCAGCACATATCAGCCAAGTGGCATTACAGTGATTTTCACAGTTTTTTTTTTCACAGTTTTTTCACAGTGATTATTCTGGTTAGAGATTCATGAGTCTAACAGCCTCAGGGTAGAAGCTGTTCCTCAGTCTAGTGGTTCTGCACTTAATGCTCCTCAATCTCCTTCCTGAGGGGAGCGGGACAAAAAGTGTGTGCTGGGTGTGTGGAGTCCTTCATGATGCAGGTGACCCTCTTCCTGCATCTGGAGGTGTAGATGTCTGTGATGGTGGGGAGAATGACTCCAACAGTCTTCTGTGCAGCCTTCACCACTTTCTGCAAAGCTTTTCTTTCTGCAGCTGTGCAGCCTCCATGCCACATGTTGATGCTGGAGCACAGGATGCTCTCCACTGCGCACCTGTAGAAGGAGGTGAGGACTGAGCTTCCCAGACCAGCTCGACTCAGCCGCCTGAGAAAGTAGAGTCTCTGATGAGCTTTCTTGATCAGGCTGGTGTTGTTGTCTCAGCTGAGGTTGTCATTCAAGTGCACACCCAAGTACTTGTAGCTGGAGACCACTTCCACCACATATCCTCCTATGGGGTAGGTGTGTTTATTCCTTCTGAAGTCCACAACCATCTTTGTCTTATTCACATTGATGTGAAGGTTGTTCATCCTGCTCCAGCTCTACTGGTGTTCCACCTTCCGCCTGTAGCTGGACTCATCATAGTTTATGATGCATCCAACTGCATCCAGCTGTATCGTTTGCAAACTTTACAATATGACAACCTGGATGGGTCGGTACGCAGTCGTACGTTAGCAGAGTGAACAAGAGTGGGCTCAACACACAGCCCTGCGGGGAGCTTGTGCTGAGGGTTATGGTGGAGGAGGAGAAGTCGTGGATCTTCACAAAAAAAATAGAAAAAATAAAGCTGCATTAGGTGTTGTTTTCATACTACTCATAAAGTAAATGTGTACACTGTGAAATGGGACTTTCATACAGATGGTGTTTGGAGCTTTTAGCTTATTGTTTAGCCACAGCAGCACCTGCCAATAATGTGAAAATGAGACGTGATGTGACGTACAATGTTACTCAGTAAAAAAATTTAAAAAATAATCAAATTCACTGATAATTTCAATAAAATGTATTTGAGCACCCAGATATTAAAAATACGGAAGAAAAACGCTCAAATGTTCAATAAATCTGAGTCCACAGAAAGCTGTCTGATTATGTACCGTAATTTCCAGACTATAAGCCACTACTTTTTTCACACGCTTTGAACACCAAGACTTATACAATGCTGCGGCTAATTTTTGATTTTTTTTTTTTTGATGGGCTAACAAGCTTCATGCCACCAAAACATTTAGCTTCGTCAGACCCAGGCGCTCGCATAGCTGCTCAATACACGTCTCTATTTGGGGGTGGCGATCATGACTTCCTGGTAGACTACTGTATTTTTTTTTTATCAGCCGTACATGCACTGTTCAGAAAAAAAATAAATAAAATACTGTATTTGTGCGTGTTACCAGTACGTATTTAATTAAAAGTTAAAACAAAAAAAAAAATTCTGTGTAAATATCTCATGTTACAACCTGCAGCTTATAGACAAGTGCGGCTTATTTATATAAAATTTTCATTTTCTTTTTAAATTTAGCGGGCACGGCTTATATTCAGGTGCACTCAATAGTCTAGCAATTGCAGTATATTGGATCAGCCCACAGGTAATAGCTGTGATAAATAGCTTATGTCTAACTTCTCGCATTTGTAACAAATCAACTTTCATTAAAAAAATGGGTATTAGCCAGGTGCGATGCTCAGTAAAATTTGAGAACTTGATGCATGGTTTGTAAACAGCTTTTTAAGAAATTAAATGAGAGAAGTTGTTAATGCACATTTTATATGAAGTAGAAACAGCCCCAACTAATATGTGTTGAATTGTTAATCTAAATTTAGGTATTAGCTAGTAACCATAGCTGAGTACTTGGCTGCTAACTGCTGAATTATATTGACACAACTTTAATAGAGGAAAAAGAAGAAACGCCTAACATATGATTACCAACTACCAATTTAATTTGACTTACTTTACGCTTCAGGTGCTGACTGAGCAGGGCTGTGTGTTTCAAGAGCGCCATGGTTGGGAGAGACCAGGCTGGTTCAACAAAGATGGGCCTGTTCCTGTGAGAATCACACCCCACACAAACCATTATAAGTCGCCCCTTCCAGTTGACTGGCCTCCAACAGCTTGCTTGTACTGGATGTGTTACTGCAGGTTAAAGACTATGATTATTATGGCGCTTACGACATTAAGATGAACGTAAACTACAAGTACAACAACCTCCTTGGCAAAGAGTACACCTTCGACTTCCCTCCACATCACGATGTGGTAAGATATCAAGAAATCTGTGATGGTGTGTTTGAGCGCAGTCAAAGGGGAACGTCCTGTTTTGCCAGTGTTAAAACATGGTCAACTAGTCAAATGAATTTGAAGATATTCTGTTCTGCAGGATTGCAAGAAGAGAAATAAGTATGCGCCCCTCATATGTCATGAACAAGTAACGGTAATGATACAGTCTGTAGGTTTAATGATGCATGAAGAGTTTCTGGGCAGTTAACTAATTTAGTAGCTTGACAGACATGAGGGATACCAAGAGCCTTGATGCAAAAATCTGTTAGTCTGCCTTGGATTTCACCTCTGCGATGAGTCCTGCCCTATAAGTTGTGCTTAAGGTTCAGCTGTATTAGAAATTACGTGCTTTTTAAAAACCATTGTATGTAACATATTGCTAGTTAATAAGCCTGTTGAATTTATTATTTTTGTTTTTTTTCTTAATGCAGATTAAGAGCGAGTGTCTCTCATGTAGAAACAGTGTGGCTGTGTTTAACATGTCCTACTTTGGGAAGTTTTATCTCACTGGACCGGACGCCAAGAAGGCAGCTGACTGGATGTTCACGGCTGATGTCAACAAGAAGCCAGGTCAGTTGGGTCGCTGCCTGAACACACTCACTGATGGTCGAACAGATGGATGTGATGGAGGAAGAGACCTGGATGGAGAAACTAGAAAATAGAGCTTGACCGATATGGAAATTTTGGCTACCGCCAATTGGGCGGAGCAGGCTAATGCCGATAACCGATATAATGGCTGAAAAATTTTGAGCTACTTGCCAACACTGAAATGTTTTATCTCTACATTAGATTTATTGTTCTGGATAAAGTTTTTCAAGGCAATAGTCTATACTAGATTGTTAGCTTGCTAACTTGAGAGGCACATAACTAATGACAAGCAGGTTGAAGGATTGAAGATAATTTATTATTGTTTTTTTATTATTTTACAGATCAGTTTCAATAACGTTACCATGCTCTGTTCAGCAAAATATGCTACACAGTTGTTCTCTGCTTCTGCTTTGCTGAAAGTGAAAGTTAAAGTGAATGGTTATGACTTAAAAATAGTCCGCATGTGCCCTCTGCTGGTGAGATTGTACAATTATGCCATTTGCATGTAAGGACACGGCTTGTTCCCAGTGTTCATATCGGTGCATAATGGGACAATTATCACTGATACCAATATGTCCCTAAATGCATACATCAGCCTAAAATATCGGCCCTACCAATATATCGGTTGGACTATACTAGAAAAGATTACAACATGTGAAGTAAACACTACTTCTGAATGCCAGTATGTAGGATCAGAGGTTAGGCTTGAAGCACTGACGGGAGTCTCTATTACGTCAGCATACCATTAAATTTATGATTTCTGCAGTAGAAATAAAAAAAATAATGATAATAAAATAAAATCAGCAGTCTAGAAATCAGAAAAAAAGAAAACAGTCTTTTTTGTAAAGTTTTTGGTTTACTTAAAGTAGCTCAAGTATGGTAAATGTTGGATAAATGAATTACCATATTTTCCAGCGTATAAGTCGCATCGGAGAAATATCCTGATGCATGCTCAATAATCCATAATAATAATAATCAATAATAATAATTAATAATAATAATAAAAAATGTTTGAATGTCCAGAGGACCAGATTGAACTTTTTTGGCATTTGCAGAGAAAAAAAAAAGATATGTCACTTCAGCGTAAGTCGCATTTATTATGCATCACCGCTGACCTGTCGCATTTATTATGCATTTATTTAATGGTCAAAACTGCATTTTGCCTGGGCGGCGCCATCCTTCCATCGTGGCCAAAACCGCTAGCTCTCCAGCGTTCCTCCTCCTGCACCAGCCCACAGACAAAGAGTTAGGAAAAGCTTAAATACCTATTATCAGACAGTGGCGAGGTCAAGATGACCTCTGCTTCACGTCTCACACTTTGAATGAAGTTATCAGTTATCAGTTATGAGGCTTCTCTCTAAGTAGACAAAAAGACTCCGTCAATTTAACATTAGTAAGTGATAACATCCATGACCTTTACGTATATCTCCTAACAGTAAAGCTCAATAAGTAGTTTATGATCAACTCTGTTTCGATGTTCTTGCCCGTTTATATACCGGCTCCAACAGAACAAGTGAACTCTGAGGTTGATTCAGTTGTAAATTTGTCACATTTTAATTACGGTTGTTCAAAACACTATCTACAGCAGGTAAGATATTGTTTGTACATATCCTTTCCCACAGTTTCAGAAAAGAAGAGCGTTCGTCACAAAGGATCAGTTTAAAGCAGAAAATTGGCCACAGATTTATTTCATTCATGTTTAATGTTGTTTTTTTTCCCCCTGCATGTTTCAGGTTCCACCGTGTATACCTGCATGTTGAACAAAAGAGGGGGTGCTGAGGCCGACCTGACGGTGAGCAGATTGGAGCCCTGTGCTGCCAACCTGCCCCTGGCACCAGAGTCCAATGGTGAGCATGATTCAGTACCGCTTTAAAAAGAAGTCTCGAAACAAAACAAACGAGCGGACTTTGAGACCAAATGAGGCAGGAGTCTTTTTGAGTCTTGTATCCGCCAACATTCATGAACAAAACGAGACAAGTTATAATTTTTCCATACCAAGTTCTGTTTGGTGGGGATTTTGGAACGAAACTTGAGACTTGGCCAGTAATTGAGAAGCGATAAGTGATGATCTTTAACGGTGGCATTTTTCCTTTCGTACCTAATCCCCTTTGCTCCAGGCGATGCGTACTACCTGGCCATCGGAGGCGGTGTCGCAGAGCACAACTGGAACCACATTAGAACTGTTCTTCAGGACCAAGGCTTCCGGTGCCAGCTGACAGACCACTCAGAAGACATGGGGATGATCAGCATCCAGGGACCCAAGAGGTGGGGGGAAAGAAGGGCTTTGGTGAAATAACTAGACTTCATTTACCTTTTGTTTTTTTTTTAGCTTGTATGTCTTTAATGAAAATTGTGTTACTCAGATAAACAAAATCAAACTCTGCCGAAGGTTTAAAAATAAGGAAGGTAGTCCAAGTTTTACACTTTCTTCTTCTTACAGCCTTCCTTTGTTGCTTTTACTCGCAGAGCAAGCCAGGTCGACTTCTTCTTGATCTCAGTCTCTTCTCACCTCCATTGTTTCCTCCCCCCTTCTCCCCCCTTCACCACCTCGCTGCCCTTCGTCTTTGTTCTTCCCTCTCAGCAGCAGCTGCAGGGTTCATCCACCCCGTTCTCTGTGTGGGCTTTGTCGATTTCTCTCCCTTCAGGCTTTTACTCATCTTCTGTTTTCTTCTCTCGGTGGAGATCAGACCCCCACCCCCACCCCCCACCCCTCCGGTGCTGCTTTCTCGACCTACTGTTCTTTACCTCATTCAAGTTCTTAGGTGTTTTTTTTATCCATCCTGCTGACATCAACGATCCACAACGGTGTCACTACAGCGTAGCTCCACATTGTGGGTCCCACTGAGCTGAGCACTCAAAACAAACAATTCATTGGTGGATTTTCCTCCCTGTATGGATATCGTTGACAAAAATTGACCCCTATGTTGCCTCACTGCACAGTGCTATCATTTTATATTGCAAGTATGAGGGATTGCAGGAAATTACTCTTCTGATGTTTAGCTTCTGTTTTCCTCTAAAGCAAATGGATCCATGTAAAGCAGGACAGGGTTGCTGTGTTTACAGAAATGCATCAGTGTTTTCTCTTCACGTGGCACTTCTTTCAAATCCTCCAGGGGCAGAAGTCTTGAAACTTGGCAGCATGTTCTAGAGGAGTGAAGCAAATGCTCAGTCTCGTGCTTTGTAATTACGCAGCCCATGTTTAATTGATGAATTGATGAAACATCTTCGGTATACATCCCTGAGTCCACAGCTGCCAAGTCAGAGAAACAAATGCTGGGAACAGAAGCGGTCTTCCCATATAGGAGTGCACACGTTCACTGGTTATATTAAAGCTAGTTGTGTGAATTCACACTGGTTTCCTGGTTTTTATTATTCCATATGTTTTGTGCAATCCTACTGCTTTTGCATTCTTTAGCTGCTATTTCAGCCCTTCATATTTCAAAACATTCAGCTCATGCAGGAGATGCATGCTATGATGTTTGGTAGTTTGTAACTTCCTGAAATCTGCTCCTTCTCTATTTTTTTTTTTTTTTACCTTAGGCTATTTTTAGCTTTTAGCTATGTTCTGCTACTTTAGCTATCCATTTGCAACTTTTGAATTTTATCTATAGTTCTGCTGCTTTTTACTTTCAGCTAGCATTTTGCTAATTTTAGCCTTTCTTTTGCTCATTTTAGCTAATGTTTTGCTGTTGTCAGCTAGCATTTTGATCAGTTTAGCGTTAAGCTTAACTTTTGCTACTTTTAGCTGTTAGCTACTGTGTTGTTGCTTTTAGCTAGCCTTTTGGTAAATTTAGCTTTCAGTTACCATTCTGCTACTTTTGGCTTTTTGTTCAGTTCTGCTGTTTTTAACGAGTGTATTGTTATTTTTAACTTTTAGTTACTGCTTTGCTACTTTTATCTAGCCTTTTGCTAATTTGAATTTTTAGTTA